CTCTCATTGTGTTACCTACCACAGCCTGCTGCAGTGCTTATTTCAATGTGTTGTCTCTCAGGAAGCCATCTCCCAGGGCAAAGTTGGTCAGTGGTTGAATTCTTGGGTATTTCCTCTTGATTTCAGGATACAGCATCATGAAAGAACAACGAAACTGATTATCTGCCTGGATTTTTAACAGAGACAGGACAGAAAGGTGAACAGTGTGGATTGAATCATAGAATCATAGAATGGTTTGGGTTGGAAAGGACCTTAAGATCATCCAGTTCCAACCCCCTGCCATGGGCAGGGACACCTCACACTAAGCCCTGTCATCCAAGACTCTGTCCAGACTGGCCTTGAACACTGTCAGGGATGGGGCAGCCACAGCTTCTCTGAGCAACCTGTTCCAGCACGACAGCACCCTCATAGGGAAGAACTTCTTCCTTATATCTAACCTGAACTTCTCCTGTTTCAGTTTGAACCCATCGTCCTTGTCCTATCACTACAGTCCTTGATGAAGAGTCCCTCTCCAGCATCCAGCAATAAATACATAAATGCATCCAAACACATTCCCTCTGCACACTGAGATTTTGCTAGCTTCACTGTAAATGAAAGGATAGATACTGTGTATATCTGAATTTATGTAAATCTAAGAAAAGTTAATGCAAATACACAACCTTCTGCTCTTTTGTTGTTCAGCAGTTTGAAGGAGTTTCGGAACCACACTCATGAGTTAGTTCACAAAACAAAATTCTTGAAGTAGCCAGTACTGTGATTTGCTTTTGCTCAGAAAAATGGCTCGTTTAGTTCAGTCTTCAACAGCAAAAAGGCCCTGTTCCCCCAACAGAACACAGTAACAAGACTAGCAAGATATTAAAACCAAAAGCATAAATATTTTCTTCCAGGTGCCTGCACCCTGCATCTGCAGAAACACATAGCACACATGAAAGCCCAGGCACATGTGCAAACATATGCTCATGCATGAAGACACACACATGTAAGCTTAACATACACTTCAGGAGAGAAGTACCATACACAAATTTAGGGGGCCTACAGGGATGCTGGGGAGGGACTCTTCATTAAAGACTGTAGTGATAGGAGAAGGGGTAACGGGTTAAAACCTAAAACAGGGGAAGTTTAGATTGGATATAAAGAGGAAATTCTTTCCTGTTAGGGGCGTCAGGCACTGGAATATGTTGCCCAGGGAGGTTGTGAATGCTCCATCCTTGGCAGTGTTCAAGACCAGGTTGGACGAGGCCTTGGGTGACATGGTTTAGTGTGAGGTGTCCCTGCCCATGGCAGGGGGGTTGGAACTTGATGATCATAAGGTCCTTTCCAACCCTAACTATTCTATGATTCTATAAATAGGTACATGTGCTGCACACACCTGCAGAAACACCGAGCACAGCGCAACAATTCTAACTTACTGTACAGAGGAAATTGCATTCATGCTCTCGTACAGGCTTTCCAAGCAATGATGTATCATGTAACTCTTGCACCTCCCTCATTTTGTCTAAGGACAAAAGACCCTGAAAAGGATGGAATAAATTCTGCTGAGTAGGCAAAGCAACTTGAGGCCAAGATTACTGAACATACTGCAAAGGGACTCGCATCTGCAGGCTGCATGAGAAGTATACTTGTACGTGCAACAAAGGGAAAACACAGATGGGAGAGGGGAGGCAAGAAAAGCTTCAAATCCATCCAGCAGATGAAATGCAGAGTGGCACAAGTTGGATGCAGGAGCAGAAGACACAGGGAAGAATTAGGTGAGACAGCTAAGGGATACCCTCAGGGCATGCGCAAAGGAGCTGCACACTAGAAGCCAAGGAAATCTCACCATCTGGATCTGAGAGCAAGAAGAGCTGGGATGAAGAAATGGGCATGTCACAAGACACGAAGAAGAACTTCATTTATTTAAGAGGAAAACTATGGTTGATACAGGTGTGCAGGGTAAAATAGAACATGTGATAAACGAAAGGAAGGAAGCAAGATGAATTTTGTACATGGGATAAAGGAGGTCACAAAGAGAAGCCAGAGAGAGAGCCAAAGGAAGGCTGCTGCTAAGAATACAGGTAGGAGGAAAAGCTGAGAAGCAACAGATGAGGTAAAAATTGCCAAGAGAATACGATGGGAGCATGGAAGGGGAAATGTGAGACTGCACCCCGCAAGTGCTGGGGCCACAGGTAGCATGCAAATGGCAGAGCTGACCCTGCTCCATCCCACAGGCTGCTGGAAACACCTTTGCTCCCTTTCCACCAGCAGGAGCTTGCCTGTTTGCATCTGTGGGTGTGCCACCTGTGCCAACAGCAACTTTGGGCACAGCCACATCACCAAACACAATCCTCCCTTTCTCCTCTCCAGGATGTTGTGTCAATGCCTGTGTGTGCATTAATGCAAAGGTGTCTCTGTCAAGGGATGCCTGTTGGTATAGTTTTGCATTTTCAGTAGTTGAGTGTGTGAGGAAAGGACAAAAACCCCAGATTGGTGAACAGCAAGAGGCACACAGCTCCTGACAAGCAGAAGCAGAGAGGAACAATTTCTGGCCACTTCACAGGTTTTTGGCTGTAGCTCCAGAAATTGAGACTTTTTTCTTGTAGAAGAGAGGGATTAAAGAGGAATACTTGTACTAAACCAGGGCCTGAATGCTGATAGCAGTCAGATCCAAGAAGACTGCCAGAGGGGCTTTATGAAAAGGCGGGGGGGGGGGGGGGGAAGGGGAGGAAATTAATGCATGCATTTTGGTGATTTATTATTCTGATACTAGTCTAGATCTGCATGTCTGGGTTACATGACAATTTCTTTGGGGCAGGCACTATGCCTATTGTGTGTAGCTACACTATTGTGCATACACTATTTAGGGCTACACTACTATTGTGTGTAGCTAAGAACATATATGAGTCAGATCACAAGCAGCTGTAGCTGTAGAGGAGACGAGATGGGGGAATGGTTGGACTTGATGATCTTAAAGGTCTTTTCCAACCTAGCTGATTCTATGATTCTATGACAAGGTGGTGATCTCCTACCTTCCCGCCACACAGATTATAATTTGTCCAATGCCTTTCATGATTTCCTTCAGGAGATATGTACTTACTGCCCTCCTGGTTCCACAAGTACCAACTGCTTCTTCTATTAAATGCTAAAACTGACACACATTAGATCCAACTCAGAGCACTAGCTCTAAATCCTGACTTTGCACAGAGGCTGAGGTTCTGCCTATTTTCCAACCAGATGGATTATACCTTGCATTATACCTGTGAGGATAGCTGTGTACAAATGTACATCCATATGTGATTACAGAATAGTCTGGGTTGGAAGGGACCTTAAAGATCATCCAGTTCAAACCCCCTTGCCACATGCAGTGACACCTTCCACTAACCCACGTTGCGTACATGCCTGATTTTGTACATAGGCTTGCAAAAACATGCAGATTTTGCGTGTGTGCCTGTGACTAAGAGCGGGACAATATAAATCTTCTGGGAAAGGTATTTTAGTCATCCCAGTCTGCTCAAGCTGATGAACAATGGTCTGAAGCGCAGCTCTAAGAACATCTATTAGCAACAAATCCCCGCAGCTGCAAGACACAACCTGCCGTTCAGCAGAGAGGACCTTTGCTTACACGGCGCTGTGCGGTGATCCTTTCCAGCAGGCCGTGGGCGACAAGAGCCCAGCTTCCAAGGCAGGCAGGCGGGCGGGCAGGGCGCTGCGGCAGGCTGCAGGGGTCAGTGTTGCACACCGACTGCTGCTCGGCCGAAGAGCATCAGAGGACCGGCTGCGGCGCCGGGAGGGGGCTCACAGACGGGGAGGTGCCGCGGCCCTAACAGCTCCCGTGCCGCCGCGGCGCAGCACACCTAGCGGCCCCCATGCACACAACTCCGACGGCCCATGCTGCCCGGTTGCCTCAACACACGTCGCTCTCCTCACAAGCCGCCCAGGGCCGCTCCCCTGAGGGGGACAGCTGCAGCGCCCACACAACGGGAGCCGACCCGAAGGGTGCCCAGCAGCACGCCGCGACTTAGGGAACACCAACGGTCCCTCGCGCGCCCTCCCACCGCCCCACGTGCCAGCAGCCCGCCCTCCCTCACTGCACCAAACATCCCTTCGCCCCCCCCCCGCCGTCAACGAGGGTACCCCTGGCAGCCAATAGGAAACCTGTTGCCAGGCAGACGGCTCATTTGAATAACCCAATCAGGCGCCAAAACCATGAGTCCCTCCTTATATGGGGACTGGGGGCGCTCTCGCTAGCCTTCCCCCCCACGCACCAATTGCGCGCGCGCGCCAAGCCCCGTCCCCTTTCTCTCCGAGCGCGGGAAAAGCAGCCCCGCTGCCACCTCTCTCCCCCGCCCGCCCCCCCCCCTTCCCCCGATGCGTGCTCAGCGGAGGGCCGGGCCGCTGGGCGGGAGGGAGGAGCCCCGCCGCCGGGAGCGCTTCCAGCGGGAGGGAGAGGGCGGGGGAGCAAGTGGAGTGGAAAATTCCAGGCAAGAGGACGCGTGAGCGCTGCCGTCGCCAGTGCTGCCCTCCCACACGGCTCTGCAACACCGCTCCTCGCCCAGCCCGGCTCCCTCCGGCCAAGCCCGTGCGGGCAGCTTCCCCTGCCGCGCTGCAGAGGCGGCGGGCAGAGTGCTCGGCTACCCTGGTGCCGCGGCTTGGCGGGAAGAGGAGTGTGCGGAAGGGGGTTTTGGTGCTTTGCGCCCCCAACTGGCCTCGATGGGCCGGGAGGTGCCGCGTTTCGTGGGTCTGCGGTGATCCCCGCTGCCCGGCGGCCACCGACCCTTGAGAAGCGCCCAGCGCACATTGTTCTATCGGCCCCGTTCCCCGCCGCGAGGCCCGTCCCTCTCCCCTTTCCCCTCCCTCCTCCTCCTCCGCCTCCAGTCCCTCTCCCCTCCCTCCCCAGGTCCCTCCTTCCCTCGTCGTCACCGGGTGCTGTATAAATCCCGTTCCCCGGCGTATCCCCGCACCGCGGGAGACCCTGGTACTTTGGTCCCTGAGGTAGGAGCCTGCCTACCACCACCATCACCACCGCCGCCGCACCGCTGGGACTTTGCATTCCCGCCGCTGACCGCCTTCTCTCCCGAACCCGCCTATTTCCTCGTACCTTTCCCACCGGCCTCTTCCCTTCGATACCCGAGCCAGGATGTCGGAAAAACGCGTCGAGGAGACACCGGCTGAGCTGAGCGCTAAGGTGAGCGCTTACACCCTCTCCGGTACCCGGCCTGGGCCCGACGGGATACGGTGGGGGGCGCTTGCCCCACTCTCCTCACAGCGGCTGCTGCCGTGCCCGGCCTGCGGGGGGCGCTCGCAGGCCCCAGCACCTCCTGGCCAATGGGGGGCGGGAACGGGGCGGGGGGGGGGGCGCGAAGGCGCCCCCCCCCCGCCCCGTTCCCGCCCCCCATTGGCCCGAAGACGCGCGCGCTGCGTTCGTCTCCGTTCGGCTCCATTCGGAGAGTGGGGGGGGCCGGGTGTTCCGCCATAGCGGGAGGCGTCAGAGCCGTTAGCACGGACGGGTTAACGGCACGAACGGTTTAACTTTCTCCACCCCACCCCCCCCCCCCCCGCCACAAGGTGGGCGGAAAGTTGTGTGGACACAAAGCGCGGGGTTTGAGGGGGAGGGAGCCGGAAACGGCTCAGTCCTATGGACAAGGCTCTTTTAAACGCCGTTAAAACTCTTCAGGACTTTTCCGCATGTGTGTGGTCTGGAAGGAGCTCTGACGCGTTCGTGCTGGTTTCCTCTTTGTCTGGGCGGGCAGATTGAAGATCTTTTTCTCACCGTTATTCTGCATCCCCTTCTAAACCTTCTTTGTTTAAGTATCCCTTTATTTTCTTGCCGCGGACCACCGGAATGTTTTGGGTTTTGTTTTCATCTCGCATATAGGAAATGAAAGAAAAGAAGGAAAAACATGACGAGAAAACAGTCCACAAAGACAAGAAGAAGGAGATAGTAGAGGTGAGGCCGTTATGATAGATTGAGGAGCTTTATAAGAGGTGGTTAGCCTGGCTCAGTGTGGGTAATGAATAGGAAGGGAATACAGCAGATTAAGAAAGGCAGCCCAAGGGAGCTCGTAAGGGAGAGGGGCGAATGAAGAGCAAGCTGTAGGATAATTGTGGAGAATGAGCGTTAAAGGACTTAGCGTAGTCAGTATGGCCCAGTGAGAAGGAAAAAAGATCAAAGAAGAGAATGGAAACAAGAGCAAATGGGAGTTAGGAGAAGGTGGCACAGGAGACGTGGCCCTGCACCCACTGAAGTATCTCAAAGTGCAAGGGGAGTGTAAGATGAATAAGGTGGAGGAGGAACAGTTAGGAAATGCACAGATTGAAGGTGAGAAGGGATCTGGAAGCGGGTGTACTATGAGCACAGGCTAAGTCATTATCCTGTAACCAGAGAGATGTTCTAAATGTTGGGATAGGATGGCAGCAGCTTGTTGGGATGTAAGCTTGTGGAAATCAAGGAGGTTCACATGGGTGGGGAGGGTCTGGAAGGATTGGTTTTGTAAAGAAGGCTGGTTGGGAGGAGGGTTTCAGCTAGGATGATGGGAATAATTGTGTCAGAGGTCACTCAATGCACATCTGAAGCTGGAGTCTGAAGTGGCTAGAGCTGCAGAGACTGCTGCTGCACTTGCAGAAAAGAACATGTGGTAATGTTGTCCCAGTGTCAGTTTCTGCTCTGACCAGTTAATTTTATTCAGGATGAGGAAAACGGAGCTGAAGAAGATGAGGAAGAGAATCCTGATGATGTTGATGAAGAAGAAGGTGGTGATGAGGATGAAGGTAGGAATAATTGGTATTGGAAGAATGGAAGATCATGGAGGGAAATTCCTTCACTGGGCCCTCTTGACTGAGATTGCATCCCCGTAAATGCTACTTTAGTTAACCTGTGTTTTCCTCTCTTGCTTGTGCTCAGAAGGAGATGAGAACGGGCAAGAGCAGGATGGTCATGCAGAAAAACGATCTGCAGAGGAGGAAGAGGTGAGTGATAGTGTGAGAGAATTGGAAGTGAGAAAGAATGAGGTCACCTGCTGTGCTGACCAAATCCTTGTAGGTGCCCCTGGCGTTGGGTCTCATTGCTTCAGCAGCAGATGGGTAAATAAATCTGATGTGGCAAGAGGATAATAAACCCCTGTAGACTCCTTGTAGGATCCAGGGCCTTCCACTAGTGGTCACAGTGCTTGAGTGTTTGAGACCTAAGGTGCTTGAGATGGAGGAGTCACCTGTGACTTCTGGGCTTCTGGCCACAAGATGGACTTGTGATGGCAGATCTCAGGGCCTGTCTGAAGTGGTGTGAGCCTGGGCTTCTTACGCACCCTGAAAGTAACTTGGCAGCTATCCCTCCAAAAGGAGCTGTCCACATCTTAACAGTGATCATCAGCCTAACAGTTGTGTCAGACACTCAAGGATGCTTTAAAGGGGAATGGATTTCCATGGGGAGGGAGGAACAGCAGTAAGAATTTTGTGGAGAAATTATGTGCCTTGGTGTGGTGAATGTTTAGTGGTAACTCCTTTATGTCCCTCTGTGTCCTCCATAGGATGAAGTGGATCCAAAGAGACAGAAAACAGAAAATGGGTCTTCAGCTTGAGTCCTCCCCTCCCATCTCCTATGTTCCGTCCATCTCCTCTTCCATTCCAGCCTGTGCTTGCACTGTCTGTTAGCCTCTGGCTTCACACAATCTCAGATGAGGAAAGATTAGAAACGCTCTCTAACAGGGAAGACAGCAGTTTCCTTCTCACCCAAAGACCTAGCCCACCCTTGGCATTCCCCAGCTGAAATCATTCCAGCCCCCCACATTCCTTCCTCTGTGCCCCACTTACAAGTGATCCTCTTCCCGCAAGGATCTGATCGTTTCCTGGGGTGCAGTAACCTTGCCAGGCCTGAATGCCAAGCTCCTCGCGTGGCAAGCTCCTCTGCTTCTCTCTCCATGCACCCTCCTCTTTTTGTCACTAGAGTGACAGATTTTTGACAGCTTCTGTTCCCCAGACCTGCTGTCAGATCCTCCCTGAGTGCAGGGGGCTGTGGGCACAGATCTCATGGTGCGTTTTCCAGTCCTAAGCCACCTTTCATCTACTTTCCCACTGAACCCTGAGAGAAAAAATTACAAGCAAATAACGGTTCTATTAAACCACACATGGAAACAATTTATTTTAAGCTTTTTTTTTCAAGTTTACATGACAGCAAGCTGGCCCTCGTGAGTTTTTTCAGAAAAAAAAAATGTTGTTTTTATATATGAATTTCATCTGAACTGTGTACTTTTTTAATTTGGAAGCTTTTTTAAAACAAATCACGAGAAACAATTGGGGACCAAACGTTGATTTCCATGTTGTTGGTTTGGTTTTTTTTTCCCTTCAGATTTTCTTGTGACCATCTTTTGTAAATTAAAGGCAATATAGCCACAGCGTTTTCTATGGCACAGACATCATGAGGATAATAGATATAAATATATATATTGTTTTCAACTAGCACTGTAAATAAAAGTGTTTAAAAAGATTTGAAACTGCTTGCGTGGTTGGTTGTGTCCATACATGCTTGGTTATGTTCCATTTACGTTGGAGGAAGTTGGATTGCCAAAGGAGGAGGCGGCTTGACCAGCAGCAGGTAGGGAAGGGAAGCCTGAATTAGCCTAAGATCTGTGTGAGGTGTTGGAATGGTGCTTGTGTGCTGAAGACTAGGCACAAGGTAGAGGTCCAGGACAAAGCTCTTGAAACCACAACCGGGTCTCAGTTCCAGAGGCTTGGAAAGAGACCCCCAGCTGTGGCTGCTGGAGATGCTCAAGTGCAGCTCTCACTGCATGCTGCCCTATGGCCTCCCAGCCCTCCTGGTTTCAGGCATGGGCCATGCAGCATCAGTTGCAGCAAGAGGGAAGCTTTTTAAGAGGCGAGTGCTTCAGTTCTTTGTCCTACCAGCTGCCAGGGAGAGAAGGGTCAACCATTTGTATTTTTATCTCTGCAGACCTTTAAATCTTCTGTTAGCATTTTGCCTTTTAAAACTCACTCTGGCAATCATACAAATGAGCAGCCAAGACCAGGAGCTGTAAATAATACCACCTTTTGTCTGAGTATCAGTGGCTTTCTGCTTGTCCGCCTGCAGCAACAGATCAGATACTAGAAGTGCAAAGAGTTGCTTGTCTCAGAGGGGCAAAGTGTCAGCTGTTGTCTGAGTGCACTATTCCCCAGGGTGCAGAGGGACACGTAGATGTGATGCAAAATGGCATTGCTGCTGCCAAGGCCCTTCCCATGTGAAAATGTCTCAGGGACTGTATGCCTGCCTGGTGTGATCTCCCTGCACTGCAAGATATGGGCGCACTGCTCACCCAGCACCCATTTGCTGGTGGAGCCTTTGCTGCGTCTGCACCCATTTCAGTTAGGGGCTGTAAATTAGCTCAGTGTCGGAGCGGATATGGGTGCTTCTCCAGCATGGATGAGCCTGGTTCAAACAGGCCCTGGGCCATCTCCATCTCCAGCTGGAGCCGTGTGCTGGGGGATTTTGCAGTGCAGTTGTTGCACCCATGCCCTCTCTCTGCTGCAGCTGCAGTCACTGTGGCCTCATCCTGCCCCGCACAGCCCCCTTGGCAGTTAGGGTGCCTTCCCCCTGTGAACAGCTCTCCAAAAGCAGGCAGCTGCAGCCTGGGATTGCCTTGCAACACCCCTTCTGCTGCCGCTTGCCTTCGGCACTGATCAATGCCCAGTGTGCCTTTAGCTGCGCTTTTGCAATCTTGTATTCCTGCTATTGCTCCCTTTGAAGAAATGATGGATTCTAGTCTCTCCTCAAGATACTTTCACATTGCAGCGAGTGTTCAGGATTCCCCCAGGCTTCCTGCTGACTAGTCACCTTTTACTGTTCAGTACTGAAGGTGGACTATTGATGGATGGTACGATCTCTGCAGAGGCTGATGACAGTTTTCACACTTCTTCCCCAGCACTGCAGCAGTTCCTGACTATGAGTAGTGAATATTGCCAATGAGAAGTTGTGGAGAGGTAACTCCATCTCTGCTTTCTATGTGGATGCAGCACCAGTACCTCTGGTTCTATCCAGCGGGTTATCCGGAAGGAAGTGAGGCAGCACCTGATTGTTAGTCCAGTTCCTTAGATCTGCAAAGATCCATGCTGTATCTGATGGTGTTTTAGCTGACAAGGCGATCACAGCAAGAAGTTGCAAGGATTTCCGGAAGTTGAGGCTGCAGGGTTTTGTACTGCACTTTGTCTCAAGCCTGCCTGTGACCTTCATTTGCATCAGAGCCTGCAGATGCTTTGTGTCATTCTTCTTCTACAGTGAGATCAATCATGTCACAATGGCATCATTAAGGTAAGAGCAAAGCCCTTCCTCACCAGTGATTCCTCAGAAGTAATGATACCATTCAGGGGCCTTATTCACCTTTCTTGTCTCTGTGTGAATTCTCTGCTCATTTCATTTACTTCCTATGACCATCCCTTAACCTCATCAACTGGGGGCAGCTGTCCTTTCCTTGCTTCCCATGGCACCTGCTCCAAGCTTCTCTCAGCTCTGGTCCTGCCAGCCAAGCAGCACCAGAGATTTCCATCTTTCTTCTCCTCCTCCAGGGCTGCTTGCTCTGGGAGCTGTGGAGGTGGCACAGTCGTGCTCCTGCAGGCTCTGCTAGACTGCCAATATCTCCTTCCCGTGGCTCTCCTGTGTGGCTTAGGCAATCAAACGTACACCAGTGCAGAGAGCAGGTAGAGCTGCCCACTAGGTCTTAGCTGGGTCCCTGTCCCAGCTCAAATGAATGTGTCCCCTCGCTCCTTGGCAGGGATCACCAGGAAGTTGAGCCCTGGACCCAGGGTGGTGAGCGCACCTCCGGAAGGCTGTGGCCATGGAGGAGGGTGCCAAGCCTACCAGGACAGTGCTGGTGGGTTGCAAGCTGGGGGACCATGGAAGTGCAGCTTCCTGAAGAGGACAGCTCTGGCTGCAGATGGCAGCATGAGAGGAGGCTGCTGATCTCTGTGTTGGGTGAATAAAACCAGTTAACAGTTCTGGGTAAGCAGAGCAACCTGACCTAGCTTTGGAGTCAACTCTGCTGCAACCAAGGGGATTCATTCAGCTAGAGATCACCAGAGGTCCCTACCCACCTACATCTTTCTGCAATACACAGAGACATAGAGGCCTGCCATGGAAAGTTTGTGCTGAGTCTGAAGATATTTTGAAGTGATGAACCCAGAAATGAATGTTCTTTGCATCTTACCGCTGTCACTTCCTCATTTCCCCTCAGGCAAATGATCCCCTCTGCCCAGCCTCTTTGGTCTTTCACACCAGTTTTAAGCCAATAAAGGAAATAAGACCAGTGTGATTGAAACCATCGCATGGGCAGAATCATGAACCTGGAAAAAGTGAGCCCTCCAGCCACTGCTGCTCTAGAAGGAAACCCCTTCCTGCTTCAGGAAAGTCCATAATGGTCCTGTTGGACCAGCTTTGCAAAGCATAACAAAGACTCATTACTTCTTCCCCAACCCCTTCCTCTGGTATCAGGGTCTTCTTCAGGCCCTCTGCTTAGGAGATGCATTGCTCAGCCACTTCCCAGACACCATATGGGAAACTGAAACAACTTGCCTTCCCAGATACTTAAGAAGCCCATGTACTTTTCCCTCCCACCACTCTCCTTTATTTCAAGGCTCACTCATGGCTGCTCCAGCCCGGGTGTTCTCGCAGGAAAGAAGCCTGCGGTTAACTGTGTGGGCTCATGCTGGGGACACGTTGCAGATGGACAGGGCTGGAGCGTGGTGGATCGTTGGTGCGTGAGTTTGGGGTTGGTTTCTGTGGTGGGTTGACCCTGGCTAGAAGCCAGGTGCCTACCAAAGCTCTCCTCACTCTCATCCTGAGCTAAAGAGGCGAGAGAAAACAGAACGTTAAGCCTCGTGGGCTGAGATAAGGGCAGGGAGAGATCACTCACCAGCTACTGTCATGGGCGAAACAGACTCGGCTTGGAGAAAATTACTTTGATTTGTTCATTCAACCCACCAAATCAGCACGGGGTAATAAGGAATAAAACCAAATCTTAAAACACCTTCCCTCTACCCCGGTCTTCTGTTCGGGCTTAACTTCACTCCTGGTTTTCTCTACCTCCTCCCCACCAGCAGCACAGGGGAATGGGAATGTGGTCAGTTCACCACAGGTTGTCTCTGTTGCTCCTCCCTCCTCAGTGGAGGACTTCTCACACTCATCTCCTGCTCCAGCGTGGGGTCCCTCCCACAGGACACAGCTCTCCATGAACTTCTCCTTCCATAAGTCCTTCCCACAGGCTTCAGTTCTTCACAAACTGCTCCAGCGTGGGTCCGTTCTGCGGGGTGCATCCTTCAGGAGCAGACTGTTCCAGCGTGGGTCCCTTCCACGTGGGTCCCTACCCCATCCTTCAGGAGCAGACTGTTCCAGCGTGGGTCCCTTCCACGTGGGTCCCTACCCCATCCTTCAGGAGCAGACTGTTCCAGCGTGGGTCCCCTCCACAGGGCCACACGTCCTGCCAGGGGCTGCTCCAGCACCGGCTTCCCACAGGTCACAACCTCCTTTAAGGATCCCCCTGCTCTGGCATGGGGTCCTCCATGGGCTGCAGGTGGAATCTGCTCCACATGGACCTCGATGGGCTGCAGGGGCACAACCAGCCTGCCTCACCATGGCCTACACATGGATTGCAGGGGAGCCTCTGCTCAAGTGGTTGGAGCGGCTCCTGCCCTCCTCCTTCGCTGACCTGGGCATCTGCAGAGTTGTTGCTCTCACACATTCCCACTCTTCTGCTCTGGCTTCAGTTGCTGT